CCAGTCGCAGAGACGGCTCCGACAAAAGGGAGCAGTGGCGGTTCTGACCAGCAGAGGGGATGACACCCGAACTGGCAGGAGACCAGAGGTAATCGTACCCGACTTGACAGAAGCTTAGGAGTGAGTGCGCGTGGTGGCTATAAAAGGCCCCCTACCCCCAAGAACAAGGCATGCAAACTTTGCGCTATCTGGTTTTATCTTGCCTTTGAAGGATTCTAACTTGAGCTTCGGAGCCTCCACACCGGGTTCCCCTCAGAGCTTCCTCATCTTCTCCGTTTCAGGTTCCCCGCAATTCCGTTCAGAAGCAAGGTCATTGACAACTAAGACCGGCCGGATTGCGCACCATCACAACTGTTACACACCGGTTGGAATTTGGAAGTACACAACAAGTGTAGCGTAACAAGTGTAGTAGATCCCCAATCTGATCCTTCCTTATTTGTTTTGTTTTTTTTTTTTTTGCCGGGAAGCATCACAGATTCCCGAAATTTCGTCCTTATCTTTCCTCCAAAAAGGAAAAAAAAAAAAGAAAATTTCGGAGCTGATATAAACCGACCCGTTTTCTCTTCTTATTTCTGATTTGAGTAGAATTCTTTCTTCGTTTCTTTAGCTTCTATCATGGCGTCGTCGGCACAGCTTCGTCTCATGTCTGATCTTAAAGCCATTGTAAATGAACCCCCGGAAGTAAGATATTTAAGGGTTTTGATTGAATTTGAGTTTTTTTCCCATACAAGTGTGAAGATTAGAATTGTTTCATTTATTTTTTATATCATGATCATGCTCATCTTCTTCTTTGCCTAAATCAGGGGTGCAGCGCGAGTCCGTTGTCCGACGAGAATCTGTTCGTGTGGAGTGCGACCATCTTTGGTCCCGATGAAACCCCTTGGGAAGGTGAGATCGGCTTATTTTAAATGGGATCAGAAAGAAGACTGGTTTTACTTCTTCTTGCTTTGCTTTATTTATTTTTTTAATTATCCTGCTTATCGTCGATGAGGAATTCAGGTGGTGTTTTCGGTTTGCGATTGATTTTCGGTGATAACTATCCGGAGAAACCCCCTCGCGTTCGCTTCACCTCCGAGATGTTCCATCCCAATGGTTAGTATCATTTTCCTCTTCGCATGTATGTTGATGGGCCTACGAATTGATGATTTCTTTTTCAATTCCAATTGATCTGTGTTACATTTACGTGTGCTTAAGGCTTAATTGGTGAATTGAGTGTTTGATGATATAACTTCCCAACATATTTTTCTTCTCATATTATATAACTTCGACTGATCTTCCATTTATCGAAATCACATTTCTCAATAATCGCCCAACCAGCTAGTTATAGATTACAAAGATGGTCAGAATTCGATATTATGGAGTGTTTGGAAGGAAAGAATTGCAAGAATTTTGATACTAAGAAGCAGGCTGTTAGCTGTAGCCAAGTTAATAGATTTGGCGACCATTAGGGTAATACGAGTCCCCTACAGAGTCAGGTCGCGTATAAACTTTGATCGCTGCACTGTAAGCAACTTTGAAGTTTTGTATATAGGGGCGGCTCTTAGACAGGTCAAAGTGCGCATCCTTAGGTTCTGTGGATTTATTCATGCTCAATTGTAGAGGGGAACTCGATAAGGATCTAGCTCTTAGCTTTACTGCAGGGGTTAATGATTTGGGTTTCTTTAGACTTGGATCAGCTAATAGTTGAAATTGACTCTTAGGTGGTATGGTAATGGACTGGATGACTTTCATTACTGAAGGCCTGCGGATGCATCTACAATTCTATATCATATCAGGGAAGCAAGATTTTTGGTGTCTAGGTTGGACTGCTCATTTAGTTGGGTTCCAGGTTCCGCATAGACTAGCTAGAGAGGGAGTGGAAGGGAGAGTTCATATTGTTTTCTTTTTCTTTTTTCATTTTGGGGAGGGGTATTAGGGGCGAGAAAATTCATATTCTGTCACGATGCTATATTTTTTAATTTGCATGGGGGACAGTTGTGGTCTAATCTGATTCTCCTCAGCTGCGGTGGTTGTAATATTATTCTCTTGTGCTATTTTATTCGTATTCAATAAAGTCTCCTTTGATTGTGCAACCGGCCAGAAAGGGAAAAGTGATCAGGGATTGGTGAATCTATATTACTTTGGTATTGTCCTTGAATATTGGCTTTGAGGCAATATATTCATAGGCTGGGGATAGTTACAAACTTAAAATGAATGTTCAATTATCTTATCTTTTGTCAATTTCTTTAACACATTGATTTTTTGAGGCCATTTCCATGTTTGTTTTCTGGATGATTACTTATTTGCTTTTTAGGCCTTTACCAATTGTACCGAGATAATTTGAGAAGACTTCTGGTTTTTGCAGTCAATGAAGTTTAGGTTGTTGGTGTTTTGGAGTTTCAGGTTAAAGTACTGAATGTATTTCTGTATTAATCTTTATAAAGAATGAAAATTAAGAATGCCAAGACTGGAGACTCTATCCAGGAAAGTATAAAGTTTAACTTTTAGCATTCTAAAACTCAAAGGTACAACAACGATATAATTCATCAAGAGTCTGATAACATCGTTTTTTGGAAGAGAGTGGAAAGCACAGTGATTCTTGGCCTTCTGATGTAGAAGTCTGCTTAATCTATTTTTTCTACTTATCCTTAAGGAGAAGTGGTTCTCCATTAAATATTTTTCTTGTTTCAAACCTATTTAACTGAATTTCTGCATAAACCAGATTATTCTTTGATATCTATCCAATTTTATGTGAAAATCAATTCATTCAATTGGGAGGATTAATCTGAAGAATCCTGAACATTTGAATACTCTCAAGTGAATATCTTATTTTCTGTTATCTGCTTGACTGAAGTATTTGACTGGAGGAACTCTTTCAAAATTCCAATGCCAGGTGCTTTACTGAACAGGGCTACCCAGTACTAGATTTTGAATATCATTTTCTCAGGAAAAGGAGAAAAAAAAAGATGTGAAAATTTAGTAATGACCTGAATTGAACTTTGAAAGCTATGATGTTTTTTATGTCTCTAAGATAAACCGATAGTTTGCCGCATTCTTACAATGTTTCCTGGCTGAAAACTAGAGTATGTTTGGTGCTAGCAAACCAATAGTTTGCTCCTGCCTTCACTTGCTCGTGGGGAAAGTGTTGGTTAGAATTTTGCACAAAAACTAGAGTATGTTTGGTTATAGTTTTGCATAAAAATTGGAGGAAGCAGGCGTCCTAGCAAAGGAGAAAACTAGATTATGTTTGGTGCTAGGTTTTTCTGTGATTGATGCAATGATAGATTGCTGATGCCCTTACAACCATTTCTTTTCTTGTAACTTTTCAGGTCGTATGGTGCAATATTCATGATTCATGAATCACTTTTTTTATATGTTTTTTAGGTTGCGCATGTCTCTAGTGCTTAGCAGGATGAGAGAGTAAGATCATTGTAGAAGGAAGTGACCCAACACTTCAGAATAAAATTAAGTTAGGGGACAGATACAACATCCTAAGCTGACATGTTTAATACTACTAGTACTGTAAATATAAATGGTTCACCAGCAAGAGTATATTAGCAACTCTGTCAAAGCACAAGAAAGAAAAGGATGGCATGGTTGGTCTTTATTTTAATATCCATGACCATCCAACTGCAGTACTTTGAAAATGTATAACATATTTGATGCTTCGCTCGTGTTGTGATTGTTTTTCCCCCTCTATGTTCTAATATAGATTTTGCCGTCTTTGTTTATTCTTGTTATGATTCTCCAGTTTATCACGATGGCACACTGTGCATGGACATCATTCAAGATGCCTGGTCACCTTGTCACAATGTTTCTACAATTTTGACGTCAATTCAGGTATGTTACATGTATGGGTGTGCCAACTTCTATATTACATGTCCATACTTGCCATTGGCAGTCACTTACAAGCATGGTTCAAAGTATCGGGACGTATCGTATCGTATCTTTTGAAAAAGATACAGTCCGAAACGCCTGTTTCCAGGTGTTTTGGACCCCCAATTTTTTTTAATAATAAAAAGCATGCTAAAGCTTCCCAAATAACCAAAATTTGAAAAAAAAAACTAAAAAAAGTAGAGTTTCGGCCGTTTCTAAGTACCGATACGATACAATCGATACTTTGAACCTTGCGTACAAGCACAATCTCACACATAATACACATAACCCTTTTTTTCAGTCACTTCTTACCGATCCAAATCCAGCAAGTCCTGCAAATCCTGAGGCTGCTCAGCTGTATCAACATGATGTTCAGGCTTATAACAGGTCTGCAATCTAATCTCAACAAATCGCCATTTCTGTTGTGTTGATTAACATTAACTATGGCAACATTTATCCATTCCATCGTTGTATTCTTACAGGAGAGTTCGCCGATGTGCTCGAAAATCCATTGAATCTTGACCGTTGGCAAGTGCCAATTCCTTCATTCTTAGTGATTAATTATCTTGTTGGATTGGGAAAGAAAGCTTTCCTTGACCTACCTGTTTCACTGTTTGTGTCAAAGTGTCTCTCGCATCTTCTGTTTCCACGTCATTATTGTTTACTGATTTCTTGGTCTCAGTTATGCGTCATGTACATGGAATACGTTTTGAGGGATTTTGGAAGAACTGCATCCGACTCTATACTAATTAATACAAACATCCAAATTTGGATAAGAATTTGAATTTTCTTCTTTTTCACTTTTTTTTTCAAGCTTAAATTAAATTCAAGTAAGGCTTAGGCCAACTATCTGGCTTAGGAGGGTGGGTTACGGGTAATGTCGCGGCCCAAATGCTCTCTCAAATGGGCACTTAAACAATGAGAAAATGGTAATTTGGGTGTTATAGAATTTTAGTTTTTGTCGTTGACGGAGGTGGGGCGGTTTACGAAGAATAACCATCTCAACTCTCAATGGCCCGATACCGAACCCAAGGCCTATGTAATTAAAATTGATCAGATCGAGTAACCCCCCATAACTTCCAACACAACAATGAAGAGTGAAGACTATGAAGTGGAAGTAGGTGTGCGTGGGCTTTGGATTTTAGGAAAACTAATGAGTGCAACTTGGGTGATTAGTCAGATTGGGTTAGGAGTTTGTTAAATTTTGAGCCTGAACCTGAATCCAAGCTGGAAGTATCGAAATTCATCAAACTGGGCAACCAGACTTGCACCCTTGAGTCTCAATTCAACAATGAAGTGGAACCGCCTTGTTACCTCAGTCCTCGGAAGTAGGGCTGTCAATGGACTGGATATTGGTTCAATTTGATCCAGTCGAGTATGAATCCATTATAGATGGATCCAATCCAATTCAATCCAATGAATTCTTTTAACCATTATGGATCGGTCTAATTTCATTTTAACTGTTCAAATTGATTTTAATTTAGATGGGTTGCAACCCAAACCTGGTCCATTAGCATCTTTATATATATATATATATATATATTCTATCAATGGTTGAGATATTGGTTCAATCCAAATTGATTTTAATTCGGATGTATCTAACTAAAACCCGATCCGTTAACATCCATACTCCAAAGTTTTAATGCAACTATAAGCAATGGCAAGTTACAGGGTTTGACATTTTGACGCCCAACTGGGGTGTTTGCATATGGCAATCAGCATGCGCATTTACAATCAAGACCTGAACGCTTGCTAACGAAATTAGGGTTGAGATGTCCAAGGTTGGGTTCGTGGTACAACCTGGATCATGGTTATAGCAATACACTAATAATATCAATACAAGGAATAAGGACATGCTAACCCGAGTCTGACTTGAACCCATCACGGTTCACGGGTCGACAATTCATAACCCGACCATAATAAGGGGACACCAAACCCGTTCCTTTTAAGTTTTAACTCCTTTTTTGATGTATCTGCCCCGATTAACTCTCTCCGTTGATATTGCTAGCAGAATTCGATAATATTTTGGGATCGCGGAGGTTGTTTTGGTGATTGTGCAACCTCACCAAACCGGGGCTCTTCTGTTTTAGGCTTAGCCACAACTGTAGGTGGGGTGTTTTTTTTCTGTTTTGGTAACATGAAGAAGTGGGCAAAGCCAAACAGGGGAGTTGACACTTGCACCTCAGCATAATTGGCCGTTGGAACATGTTTGACAGGAGATCCCCAACTCAGCGTGTACTTCTATGGAATTAGACAGGAAAGGCTTGCAGTGTGGAGCAAACAACCTGGGCTGTTTTGAAGCTTTCTGCACATGACGCATTATCCCAATTAATTCTTTAATCTTTGTAATTTAAAGAATATTGGTTGTAATTACTCTTTTATCTTACACCTATACTAACAAACATATTACATGCATACAGCTTCAAAATGGCCGAACCTTTCTCAAATTAGAAGGCCCACCCTTATGGGCGGAGTCAAGCATATTGGTGGGGCCTGGGTCCTTGGCCCCTCAAACTTTTGTTAAAACCATTGTTACTTAGTGGAGGCTGGGTTAAAAGTATAATAAAGTGTATTTTTGGCCCTTTAAATAATAAGCCCAAACTTTCTCAGACCATTTTCCCCAAACCTTACAAATCAAGCAACCAGCACTTTGGGGAAAAGGGGGTCAAGGTACATGGCACCGAATAACCAAAAAAAAAAAAGATTAACAGAATTTGATGACTGTAATATTGGCTGTGGGACCAATAAAAACGCCCCACTCTAATTATAAATGCAAAGAGAAATTGGGTGGTGGTGCACCGTATGCAATTTATGGATGGCTTGAGATATTACTATTGAATATTGATCCCACAGGCCACAGCCCTGTAACATAGCCATCCACTACTGTATGCCAGTGTACCATGGAATTCATCTTAGGGTAGGATTAAAGTTCAAAGTATCAAAAATGTCAAGTGTATCGGAAAAATAATTTTAAGAAATGTATCGGTATATGCCTTGGATACGTATGCATATCGGAGAAAGACTAAAATGCACATAGATATGCTTGAAAACACTATAAATACTTTACTAAATCATAAAAATATATTAACAACACTAAATATAAGACCTTAATGAGGTGTGTATACATTAAATTAATATATTTTAATAGTTTTATGAAGAAATATATTATAGCTAATTATAATTTCATTAAAAACCCTATGCTTAACTATAGTTTATAAATTATAATTCTTAAGTTTTAATGTTTTATGGGATGAGAAAAACCCAACTCTCCTTGAAGGGATGGGAGATCTATCATATGGATGGCCGAACCATGTAGGGTGGTTGGGTAAAATTTCAAAAATTTCTTTCTTCTATTCGGAAATCCTATTCCCTGATTTAGAAAAACTACATTTTTCAAGGTTCGTTCTTGAAACAAACCGGACCAAATCTGAAACCAAGATTAGGGAGAGGAATACCTGATATGGAATCCATGCAAAAAACTTCTCCCAAGTAGTTGTTCACGCCCAAAGAGGGTACTAAATCCTTACTCCATTGAAGATAACACAGCTTAGGGTGAGGCAGGATCAGTCAGTGGATTCTTCAACAAGAACCCCAATTCTTCAATAAGAATTGTGTAGGGATGTGAGCACAACTTCAAGATTGTTTCTTCCACCAAGAAACAATATTAAGATCCAATCTTAATCACTCCAAGAGGTGGAGATCGAACAGGGTAGGGCGGCAAGAACAGAGAGAGAACTGAATGCATAAAAGTCAGTCAAACTTTGTGTGTCTTTTCCAGTTTGCCCTCCACTTTATATATAACCCTTAAAGAGCCCAATCTCCTAATTTGATTAGGAGTTTCTTGATCCAAATCTTTAATTGGATCTGAACTCTTTAAGTGATAAGGATAATCCCTAATCTTATCTGCAGATCAAGATCAACTACTTCTAATCAAATTAGAAGTTTCCTGATCCAAATCTCTATTTGGATCTGAACTCTTTAAGTGGATAAGAGTTATCCTCTTATCCTATTATGCTAATCCATATCCAGATTCACCTCCTTATTTAATTAATCATATTAAGCTCAGTTCGAATTGGGCTTTAGACCCATTAAGATTTCAGGCTCACTTCCTTTAATGTTGGCTAGCTTTGCTATCTTTGTATGGCGTAGGACCCTATCATTGATCTCCACATAAGTCACATAGGTTCAGCCTAGCCTCTGTTATAAGGCTTACTTGAATTCATTAATGAATATAGTGAACCCCTGAGTCCATCAGTATGGGCTCTTAATGGGCCCAACATTTACACTAAATGGTCATTGGGTCCGGCCATCTTATGAAAGCCCAATGACTGTGGGCAGCCGTGAGATTAGCCCATCTTGTTTACTATCCCTAAATGATCTTACACTTAACCTCTCATCCTTTAATGGTCATACACTACCCGATAATAAATGACCTCTCCCTTGGCGCAAGGTACAATGTTGCACTCTCTATTCACATGGATCCCGGGAATTAAAACATTTTGCAAACATTTTGTTGAACCATAATATATATATGTATATCTCTGTATAAATATATTTTGCAAGACAAATTTTAATAAGTTTGAAATCAACCGCCGACAGTTTAGGTTTTCATCAGAGAGAGTGCATTCCTCGATCATTCACTTTGTTTGACAAAGGAGCTGATCTTGTCACTATGATCACCTACTCAGGTGAATTCTCGGACTGCCCCAACATACCCAGGTTTTGATCCCCTCTAAGGATCTCACTGATTGGCATATCAAAGACAGCCCAATCCGACACCTAATGCAGTACCATAATCGAGTCTAGGGGTTAGGTGTAACATTCCAGTTTTTCCTATCTGTCTCCAAGGTTTAGGGCAATATTGGAATTTGGTCTGGTTTAGGGTTTCAAGAAAACCCACACTATATGTGCCTCAGGTCTCATCCTGGCAATTGAGACAAACCACCCCAACCCACTTGATGGCACATTAGTGTCAACCTTGACAGGATAAATCTTCCCAGATTTATCCAACGGTTGTGAAGATTCTAAACTAACACGAGTCTCATAAGTGTCCAATTTAAGGGTATTACACAGAAACGCACCAATATAACATGAATTAAATATGTACTATTAGTCATTTACAATAAATGCACCAGTACATCAATTTGATTGGAGCTAAGGGCATATATTGTCTAACACTCCTATCCAACCATAAAACATGCATATATTGAAAATATAATTAATAATTATTTTTTATTCATTTCCCAAAATTATAAAAAATAAATAAACATTATATAATATATTAGAAAAATAGTTATTAAAGAAGAAATTTCAATTGCTTTGTGGATATGATAGATCATCCATAGAATTATAATATATTCAATCATTGTGATCAAATGATAAAATATAATTAATTATTTACTTTTTAATTGTAAAAAATAAAAAAATAATTATTAAAGAAGAAATTTCAATTGATCTGTGGATATGATAGATTATCCATAGAGTTATAATATATTCAATTGTTGTGATCAAATGATAAAATATAATTAATTATTATTTATTTTTAATTCTAAAAATATAAAAAATCAAAAAAATATTAAAGAAAAATTTCAATTGCTCTATGGATATGATAAATAAATCCATAGATCTAAAACATATTTAGTCTTTAGAGGCAGAGAAAAAACTTATATTTTCAAAGTTTTTTTTAATTTATATTTTCCCCAAATATCTTCATGAAATTTCCATAAATCTACTGATAGCACAAAAAAAATTGTGATTTTGAATTAAAGAAATGTAGATC